AAACATCTTTCTATCTTCTTCCTTTTTCAACCAATTTTCTCTCTTTTTATCCGCTTTCCTTTTCTTTTCTTTTTTTTTAGAGTTTTTTTATTTCTTGATTAATTCTTTAGTTCTGCCATTCCTATAACCTTATTTTGCTGTCCATTTGATAGACTCAGGAAAGATGCAAGAAAAATCCACAAGGAGAAAAAAATCCTGTTTTTTAGTTTGTGACCCTTTGCTTTGAATTTGCCGATAATTTTTTCAGATTACTCTAAATTTGACTTTCAAGTTTCTCATTTATGTGCTATTAACTGGATTTCACAATGTTTTTTATATGTATTGAATTTCTTAATTTTACCTTCCTTTTTATTATTGCCTTCTCAACACGAATTCCAGACGAATAAGTTAAATCGTCAAGACTCATTCTCCCCACACTTCATATTTTTGTCCAAAATAGTGGTTTTTGCTGTTCTATCTGCTCTGTGTTAATATGTCACACAGTTAGCAACCACTTACATAGCTAAATCTTTTGGTAATGTTGCATGGCATATATGGTATATAAGCATAATAGCAACTACCTATGTAGTTAAAATCTGTAGACTAAACTTACTCCGACAGCATAATCATGATTAGGTAACTGTCCGATATACAATAATTGTGAGTGTGAATATTATAACCTCACTAACCTATCATATTACTGGCGCGATGTATATATTATATGAAGGCTAAAGTTTAGTTTACCAAATTAGAGTAACTATTACAAAAAAAAAAAAACTTTGCATTCTAAATCGAGATACATATATTGCTTTTGTGTGTTTTACCTCTGCCAACAGATTGAAAAATAGTCATATTTACCAACTAATCCCATTAAATCTGGGCACCTTAATTCAATGCATGAGGTCCCTTATTAACTAGAATTTCTACACTATGGATGAGAATTCTATATGCTTCTAAAAGGAACAATACATCAACTCAATATTAGTAGCTTCATTGCAAATTGTGTTTGGATCAGTCATTCTCCTTTTTCTTTTCTTTTAATCTATTCTTGGGCAGGATTCTTTATTTTTAACTCTGATTTCTAAAATAAAATGTTTTTCTTATAAAAGCTTTATCCTCCTCTTTTTGTTTTGCATAAAATTCCTATCTATGGTTTTGCAGATCTACTCTCAATGAAAGTGGGGACAATCTAAAAAATTGAGTGATAGAATTTTTAGATTGAGCTTATTAATCATTTCTTCAAGAATAACTAGCATGAGACGAGTTGACCTTCTGTCCTTCTCATGATCAATTGCAAAGGTAGTTAAATGAAGGGTTAATTCCACTTGGACCCCTCAAACTATGCCCTGAATCCCACTTAACTCCCTAAACTTCAAAATAGGACACTTAAGTCCCTAAACAAAAAATACCGTCTCACTTAAGGATATATTTTGACAGAATCTGGGGTGTCGTCAGTTTTCCTAGAGTGTGCAAACACGCTCTGTTAACCGAGACAAGTGACTGAAAAAGGCGAGGACATGAAGGTAAATTCACCTGTAAATACTAGTAGATTGAATGAAGAAACTCCATTTGCTTTGCTACATCCGTCTGAAAGGGGACGAACAGAAAGGGAAGGATAGGAATAGGAAAAGCAAAAAAAACAAAAAACAAAAATCTACCATTGATCGGGATTCATGGCTGGTGATATGGGAAAGAAGACAGGGCATCGAAAGGCATCTGCAATGAAGGCAAAAAAAGGGAATGTGAAGATGGAAACTGGTAAGAACCTTCTAAATTTCAATTTAATAATATTAGGTGGTTTGCAATTGGAATATGTTGATGGGTCAGGATTTGTATTGAGATAGAAAAATGATAAATAGGCTGATGAAGTTAGGGATTAGTGAAAAATTAGGGTTTGTAAAAATATTTAAATATGTAATGTACTTACTTGAAAATTTTTTATTTCAAAAATGATCTGAAAATTTGTGATGTTGGAACCCCAATGTTCATTCATTGGAATCCGAATGCTCCTCCATTGAAGACATTAGGGTCCTGATCGTACAACTGGAGTATTTATAAATTTATTTTTCTGATTAAAAAATTCTTGCTTTTAATAATAGATGGTGGTAATGGAGCAAATTTAGGTCAACCATTCACTTTGGAAATACACCATCAAGGTGACTTCACAGATCCTCCCAATATATAATACTTAGGAGGGCAGGTGGATTATATAGACGGCTGCAACCCAGACGAGTGGTCCCTGGTAATGTTGGATAAATGTGGGTAGAAACTTGGATACCCAAAAGACTCGGGTTTTTTATGGCACTGTAGATTAGCAGGGATGCCTTTGGACACAGGGCTATTATATTGCTTGTGTGATAGAGATTGCGAGGTAATGGTGCATACATTACCAAATAATAGAGTCGCAGAGGTGTATCTAAAGGTTGTACCTGGAGTAATGAAACAGATGCCTCACACCCAGCAGGCATACAATGAAGCTAAGTCAAATCAACATAGGGAAGATGAAACCACACATGAGAGCAATAGTGACATTATGATATTAGAAGATTGGGGACTTGATGATGAAGTAGCAAAAGATGAAATGACAAAGAACGAAAAGCTGCCTTTAGAGAGTCGAGTGTTGACAACAGCAATGAAGTGGAAGGGGAGCCGGTAGAGAAACATGACATCAATGAAGCTGATGTGAATGCTGAGAAGGGAAATAACAGTAGCAAAGATAGTGAAGCGCAACTTGCTAGAGGAAGCAAAAATGACAACTCAAGTGATGATCAACCCAAGGAGGTAATGGAAAATAATAATGGTGAAGGTGAAGACATGCCTACTGAAGAAAAACTAGAGGACTCAGACTATGAAATGGCAACAGACGAAGCTGATATCATGGATGAATGCATAAATGTTGGGCAACAATTCGGCTATAACCCCATAGAAAACGAAGCCGAGCCTTCTAACTCAAATGTGAAAACAAGGAAGAAAGTAGGCAGAAAAAAAAGAAAAGGCAGTCGAAGTCAATGCCTGTGAGGATGCTAATGTGATAAATATTGATGGCATGCAATCAGAATATGAATCAGATGCTTCTGCAGAGTTGAAGAGTGAAAGTGACTCAGATGAAGAATCTGGGCTCCGCAGAAATAAGAGGCCTAAGTTTCCAGTTTTCAATGACAAAACTGATATAAAAAGTGCTAAATTTACTGTTGTTGGCCAGCAGTTCACATCAATGGTTATCTTCAGATTGGCAATCAGAATACAAGCCATTATGAATGAGAGGGATGTTTACTTCACCAAGAATGACACAAATAGGGTACGAGTGAAATATAGAGGCTGTGGATGGGAGCTTTTTGGCTAAAAAATGCAACGTGAGAGCACTTTTCAAATTAAAACACTGAGTGATGAACATAGTTGTGGTAGAGTATTCCATAACAAGAATATAACCTCAAGACTGGCCAGTAAATTGTTTCTAGATGAGGTGAGAAAGACACCTTCAATGAATGTACATGAGCTACTTACCAAAGTGACTGAAGAGCTCAACGTAGATTTTTCCTTAAAACAAGGATACATGACACTTCTAAAAGTTAGAGCTGCAATTGAAGGGTCCCATGAGAAACAGTATGAATTGCTAGAAGACTTCTGTGGAGAATTGAGAAGAGCAAATCCAGGGTCTACTGTCTTTGAAGAGACTGAGGTTGATGATGCAGGAATTTCTAGACACAAGAGGTTGTACATGTGTCTAGAGCCATTAAAACGGGGATATTTAGCAGGATGTAGATGTTGGATTGGAATGGATGGGTGCTTCTTAAAGAGCCCTTATGGTGGACAGCTTTTGACAGCCGTCGGCATGGATGCGAATAATAAAATGTATCCTTTGGCAATAGCAGTGGTAGGAGTGGAAAATTATGATAACTAGAGTTGGTTTTTGGGATTACTTGTCCAGGACTTGAGAATTTCAAATTCAAAGAATTGGTGCATAATGACTGATAAACAAAAGGTAAATGAAAACTGAAATTAGCATCCTAGACTTACTAATTAACTATTAAACCTTGTTGTCATATTGTAACTAACTATCTGCTTTTGACTTGGATTGGTATAGGGATTGGTCCAAGCAATTAGAGACAAACTCCCGGAGGTTGAACATAGGTGTTGTGCTCAACATTTGTACTCCAACTTCAAACTCAGTCATAGGGGCTTGGCACTAAAAGATAGGTTGTGGAGATGTGCAAGGGCATCATATGTGAACTAGTTCAAACATGAAATGGAGTCACTTAGGCAACAATCTGAACTTGCACATCAATGGCTGGCTGACAAAGACCCTAAAACATGGTCAAGATCTCATTTTAGGGTTGGTTTGGACTGTGACATTCTGGTTAACAACATGGGTGAGTCCTTCAATGCTGTGCTATTAAAAGCTAGATCACTGCCCATAATAGGCATGTTGTAGACCATTTACCTGTATTTATTGAGGAAAATGGAGATAAATAGGGAGGCAATGGCTAAACATGAAGGTTAAGTACCTTGTTGTCATCTTTGTTGATGTGTTAATGCAATGATTGTTAGCTGCCCTTATTTATAACTACAGTTGAAATTAATAAAATATATTTTGCTGCTGTAGGTCTCCTTTGTCCGAGAATTTTTTAGATACTTGAGAAAGCAAAAAAGGATCAATGCATGTGTATTGCCTCTTATGCGGGGACAAACAGGTACCAAGTATCTTGTCCCTTTGGTGAGCAATTTGTTGTTGATATGGCTGGCAAAACTTGTAGTTGTCACAAGTGGCAACTGAGAGGAATTCCTTGTGGTCATGCTATTGCATGCATTAATAGAAGGCATGAGCAACCTGAGCAACATGTATCTCACACATATTTGAAGACTACTTATGTATGCCCCAAGATGAGCCATCCAATCAACCAACTGGTGCTGAAGGACAACCAGCTATTAAAAATGCCAGAAAATGCTCATTTTGTCGTAAATATGGCCACAGTAAAAACAATTGCAAATATCGACAATGAACATTTAGAAACTAGCTTGATATGACAGGAGAACTTGGCTTGAAAGGAGCTACTCACACAGGTGATGAGCCCTCTAACCCATATACAGAAGGTGCCAATATTGGTGTGACTGCGAAGGAGGCTATTGGTAGTACACATGTAAGTCAAGTGGCTGAATACAATCTTAAATTTACTGCTACTTTGACCAATCACTTTCTTATTCATTTGTTATTATTTAATGAATGCAGTTGAACTCCAATGCTGCAGGTATAGTTTATTCCCATAGTCTTGGAGTAACAATGAAAGCTCCAGAATCATACCTAGATGAGAGATACACAGAGGACTTATCTGCAAATTTCCACCTTGCACAAGGACTGCCGCCAGCACCATTCACTTGGAGGGGTAATATGGGCATTAACTTATCTATGTTACAGAGGGTTGCAGGCCACCATAAGCATTCAACTGGCATTGACAATGTGTAGCTTCATGGAGATGGGAACCAACATGCTAGTTTAGGGAATTTAAATGCCAAGAACAAATAGGGTTGCTTTTGGCGTTAGGGAATTAACATATTGCTTTTGGTGTTAGGGAATTACTTTTGGAATTTGCTACTGGTGCTTAACGATGAGCAGTTTTTGATAGTACTAACAACAACCTGCTCTATATTTGTAAATGGTGACTATTTTTAGTAGTAACAGCTTACTCTTTTTTATTCGTGTAAGGCTAAGCTTGCCTTTTTCTCTACGAAATGCCCTGGTTGGTACCATGTTATAATGAACTTGATAACAGGGGACAATAGGGGACAATTTACAGGAACTATTGTATATAAACGCTGAGACATACTTCAGTTATAAATAGACTTCTAAAAGGATCATTTAAATACATCAATTTTACTTGTTAGGGACACTTAAATCCCAGGTTGGTACAAGGGTACACTTAGGCTCCACTAATAATGATTACATCCGAAAGTAAAAGCTGATACTGCAAATTACATAACCAACAAAAACACTCATCCGTTGCAGTATTGCAGTATCAACACCAGAACCAACTTATGTACATAGTTCACTACACAACCTATTCCGAATACCTACAACTATGAAACTTGGATAACCTACCCCCTAATGACCTTTGATCCCAGCATTAGGCAAAAGTAATAATTTCCCACATCATAGGGCAGCTTCTTCTCCAACTTCATTTTCACCTTTTGCCCTAGATTTGAAGAAAAAGAGCCACAGGAGAATGACACCCCAATGAAGCATCAAGTACACTTTCAACCTCCTTGCATTTCCTTGCTGTACCTTGGCCATCTCCTTCCATGTCTCGACCTCAGCGGCAATCTCGTTCTTGGACCATAACAGTCCAGGTATTATTTCTTTAGACCTTTGACACATCTCAGGATCAACCTAGTCCCAATATTTACAGCCTCCCGATTCCTATTTTCATACCACAATATCATCGAACAACTCACAAAACCACCTAAATTCCAATAGTAAGCCAAATTACAAAAACATCTTGTTCATTACCTTATACTGAGGACATCGCACAAATCGTCTTCCTGGGTTTGTGTCTGTCCATGATGTCATCGGTAGTGTTTGCACTACTAGAAAAATAGCTTTTAGTGACACTTATATTATGACATTTTTTCCTAAACGTCATAATAGGGTGTTAACATGACAATCAGTCAGGAGTGTCATTAAAAAGGTGCCAAAAGTAGACAAAACTACACCGTATCACCCTTAATTTTGAAAATTGGCTCTATGTTTTAGCGCGTGATTATTTTCACCAAAAATTCTAATATTTCCTCCCTTTTCTAACTTACCACATCTCATCACATCTCTCCTCACCCGCTGCATTTGATCTCTTTTTGTACTGTGACTTTTCCCTCCCTCTCTTGTTTCTCTCAATTTAGGGCAAATTTAGCCAATTTTCTTGCCAATCTGCTAATTTTTCAAGGAGGAAGCAACTAGGATTCATCCCACCGATGGAGGTATGATGATTAAGATGTTTGTTTAGTTTACTGAATATCAATGATTCAATTTTTTGTTAACATAAAGGTTGTTTTCTTTTTGATTTCTTGTATTTAAGAGATAATTTTAACTTTAGGTCTAAATGGATGCTGTCGAAAGATAATTGTCTTTTGGATGTCGTCGAAAGATTCCAAGTAAATGTTATAGCCTTCTTTAGCATCAGTTTGGTAGCATCTGTGACCCACCACATGTTTGATAAATTGACTAAATGAGTTTTTCATTGCTTGCCAAATGGATTTGCTCTCTAGTTTACTCAATTCTTCCAAGCAGCATACCCTTTAGTTTTTTGCCAAGGCTCTGCCTTCTTTTCTTGAAATTTGTTTTATAAACTTATCTTGAGTTGAATAGAGAACTGAAATACTGCAACATGGTTGAATGTGTCTTTATGTTTTCTCTTCGGATCTTTAGTTTGAACATGCATTTTCTGTTTGAGATATTTATCTGTTTTTGTCTATATAGAGTTGGTCACATCAAACACAAGCTCAGGTGATGTTGTAGCTCATCGGCCAAGAGGCCGGCCGCCTAGCTCCAAAAACAAGCCTAAACTCCCGGTGATAATCACTCAAGAGAGCGCCAACATGCTCCGAGCACATATATTAGAGGTCAGCAGCGGCTGTGATATGTTTGAATTAGTTGCAACATATGTTAGAAAAAGGCAAAGAGGTATTTGCATATTGAGTAGTAGTGGCACGGTCAACAATGTGAGCTTGAGGCAACCGGCTGCTGCTGGCTCAATCATGACGTTACATGGCTGGTTTGAGATTTTATCATTGTCGGGCTCCTTCCTTCCACCATCAGCTCCACCGGGTGCCACCAACTTGACCATATATTTGGCTGGTGGATACGGTCAAGTTGTTGGAGGAAATGTTGTGGGAGCTTTGATTGCTTTTGGACCTGTGATTGTTATTGCTGTTTCTTTCACTAACGTAGCATATGAAAGACTGTCTTTGGATGAAGATGATCACTCACTTCAGGCAATGGCAGTAGTGGTGCTGTTGCTGGTGGCTCAAATAATAAATTTTCTGATCCATCTTTAAGGCTTCCCTTATTCTAAATTAGTATATAATTTGTAGACACTTTTGGTGTGGATTGTTTGGATGATGTACTTTTGCTCAAGTTTGGATGATTGTATTGCTTCTTTTATATTATTATACTAGCTACGTTACAATCCTTCAAAATTTAGGATTGGAGATGCTTGTGTGGCAGGATGAAATGTGGTTTCTACTGTCATATGATATGCAACAGGAAGTTGGAATACTTTAATTTGGATGCTACATGACAAGTAGAAAATGTCATAAAAGCCTGATCTAGTTACTCTTCAAAAGTGTCATAATATTTCTATCTACTTATACTAAAAAAGCGTCATGATATGTTATTGTACCCAACATTTCTTGTCATTTGATAGTGTCATAATATGCATAGATAATGATATTTAATAGTGTCATAATAATGATAAATTGAGACACTTAAAACTGTCATAAACCTATCGTGACGCTAGAATGGATGACGCTTCTAATAGAGCGTCATTAGAGCCTAAACGTCATGACATAGATCTATAATGACGCTTTTGAATGTCATAAAAGGACACTTTTGTAGTAGTGTTGTCTTCCACAATTACAAGTTTCCCTGACCATCTGCCCTTATTTTGTCGTAGCGTGCTTCTTTTTCTTCTTTCTTCATTCTTCCCTCCCCTTTGATGAGTCCCAATTTGTTCTCATTTTGATTAGGGCACATCCGACCGTTTTTATGATATGGATTTGGATCGGGTCATGTAAACACAATACAGGTATTAGTCATATGGCGGGAAACTTTCCCTCTCTTGGCTCATTTTATTTTCCTTTTTTTTTGGAAAATTTCATCTATGCCCTTCGGTTAACAGAGCGTGTTTGCACGCTCTAGGAAACTGACGACACCCCAGATTCCGTCAAAATATTTCCTTAAGTGAGACGATATTTTTTGTTTAGGGACTTAAGTGTCCCATTTTAAAGTTTAGGGAGTTAAGTGGGATTCAAGGCATAGTTTGAGGGGTCCAAGTGGAATTAACCCTTAAATGAATAAAGATCCATTAACTTGGTTGTCATGTATATGAAATTGGTTGATGTGACTCTTAAAAAGATTAGCTTCTGTGTCTTGTTTTAGTTACATCGATTGCAGCTCCATTAGTGACTCTGTGAAATGAATGACAATCTGGTGATACAATTTGTTCAAGAAATTGTACACAATTTTTATGCAGCACTTTTTTAGTGAAATAGGCTGCAGTGATTTCACTTTGCCATTCGATTGTCTTTTGTTTTAGTCCGATTTTGTGCTCTACCTTGGTTTTTTTTTAATTGCTTTTCTGCATCTGACGCTTCATATTGTTCTTCACATTTCTTCATCTAGAATGTGAAACGTAGAAGTTCTAGTGTTCTATGACTAATGACCTTTTCTAGCATCTGATTAATATAATTAGTTGTTAAAACTTTAATCCCAGTCCTTGAATCTTTTCATGAATATTTTAATTGTTCTTAATTTGTTCAGACTTCAGCTACAAGTAGCACCAATGAGAACTAGGAGAAGAGAAAGGAAGAAACTTGTAAATAGTCATATTATAGCGCCAATGAGAAATAAAGGAAGAGAAAGAGAAGAAAACCGTAAACAATTATATTTATTAACTTTATACAGTCGTTGAGATTTAGGTCTGATTTGAAATAGTGGACATAAGCCATATCTAAGTTGGAATTGGTCAGAATATCACAAAAACTCTTGTTCAAGCATTAAGGTAGACACTTATTAAACTATCCCATCAACCTTCTGGCTGTACTTTGTATGTGGATTTTTATTTTTTATGTGATAATACTACTTTTACCCTATTCAGGCAAAGCAGAGTGAAATTCAGGCTCTTCTTGCATTTCAAAATAAACTCAAATTCTATCATGTGTCATGCCTAATTAGTCAATTATTCTGATTTAGCTTTTCATAGCACCGTATTTATGTTCTGCAAACAATGCAAGTTTCTGCAAAACAAAAAAAAATTGGGTTTCTATCAGACACTTATTAAACTAGCCCATCAACATCTATGTAATCAGATTCTAAATAAAGCTTATATTACATTTTTATCTACACTTTATATGGGTGTGAGTGGGGAAAAAAATAGGGTTATTACTTATTACCATAAAAAAATTGAGTTGAACTGGCTCAGCTCGAACATTTTCAAGGAAGAACTGACCCGAAAATGAAATGCCCTGTCCGTTTGACGGCCCCCATGGTCATTTGATATCACAAAAATGAGCTAGCAAATGAAGGAATTTACCCTCCTTGTTCACTAAGTGTATGGGAATGGACACTTTTCACCCGAAAACCGCTGGAACATTTTCTTGGCTAAGTTCATCTTTGGGATTGAAGGAAGCTTTAAACCTGCTTGAATTTTCTTCTCATATATGAAGTCGGTATATGTAGATTCAAAATCTGATTTAGATGTTACTTATTAATTTCTCTTTTACTTGATTTGATGAGCTAAGTTCACGTTAACTTCTGATATATAAAAATACTATGTAACCAACAAGATTAAATACTACTAATATTTTTCTCGTCCTTTACATTTGTAAAATTATATTACTAATCTCTCTAAGTGAGGTGCGCTAGCTCTAAATTCCTCCACTCATTGGCCCAGAAATAGTAGTTTCCAAGAAAGAAGGGATATGGAAGAAAACAACTTTTGAGGGTTCTAGGAGTTTCTCTTTTTGACATTTTGGCTCCAATAATGCAAGACCAATAATAAAAGAAGGGATATGGAAGAAAACAACTTTTGAGGGTTCTAGGAGTTTCTCTTTTTGACATTTTGGCTCCAATAATGCAAGACCAATAATATATACTACCTAATTCTTCTAGTTTTGGGAGTTTTGAATTCAAGTTAGCTTGAGAGAAGAGAGAGAGAGTTTGGAAGACAAGAAAAATAACTAAAGGGTTGTATCTTGCCCTTTGAGGCAAGAAACATGCCCTTAACAAATGTAACTCTCTTTATTTTCTCTTGTTTTGGTATAGGTTGGTGTAGTAGATTCTAGTTGTGGCTATCCATTCCTGTATTGGCTTAACAAGAAGGTTAAGGGATATGAAGAAGGAGAGGGTCAAGAAGATCTAGTGACAAGGGTTTTCTTTTTTTTTTTTTCACATTTTTATCTTTGTATTGAACTCTAATTTGTTAATGCAAGATTTGGATATTGTGTTTATGATGTTGATTTAAAGTATATGTCTTAGGTAATTGATTGAAATTTATATAATTGTTTGGTGTTGATTTCTTGGCTAATTGATGCTATTATCTTGTTTGAGTTATTTAACACTTTTGCTCTTATAATCATGATTACCTGACCATTAATTATAATCATTTTAAGGTATTAGACTTGCAATGAGAATTGAAATTTGACACTAGTTCATAGAAGTGTTAAACTTAGGGAGTACACTCACAAAAGTAGAAATACACTTTTGTGGCTTTTGTGGTTTTGTTCCATGTAATTTCATATAAGTTAATGAACTTGTAGTTGATTTTATAATCATGAAAGTAGGTATGAATTAATTATAGGTATAGTTGGTATATCGGTGAAAACGGGTATCACGTATATTAGGAATTACGTCATAACTTAGTCGAGATTTTGAGATTCATTTGGTTAGGGAGTTGTACTAGTATGAATAAGTAGGAATTCGATTACCCAATGAGCTTTTATTTGTATTTGTCTATCCATTTATTGCTTAATTTATTTGTTTTAATTTGTTGATAGTCTAAATAATAAAGAAGTTATAGTAGTATCGATAATTGTCAATGTTTCTTGTAAGTTCGACCTTTAATACCCTATACTCGCTTATAACTCGTATACTTACGAAAAATCCCGTGTGGGGTATTTAAAAATTTATAAATGTAAAATTTAATCGTGAATTGAGTTTAGTTATTATCTGCGTATCTCGCACTCGTCATAGCTTGTGGGTCCTACATATCATCACTTGTTACTTGTGCCAACCGATTAAGAGCTTCACAAAATTGAACAATCAATCGGGACACAAGCAACCGTGATTCTGGATGCCACTTCGTTCATGTTTCAAAATAAATTGCATTCATGCATTCTTTTTTTAAAGAGAGACTAGCCACGAAGCCAAGCATAAATCACCACATGAATTGAACAGCGACTTTATCAAAAACATAAACAATTAAATTACTCTAAAGCCACAATTCAAGATTGTCAACGTGGCACAATCAAAACAAAAATAATTGTAGTTAAAAAAAAACTTGAAAATTATGACTTATCAAATTAGTATTATTTCCCAATAATCAATCATATTTAGCTCTGATACCACTAGTTAGTAGTTATTTATATTAACTTTTGGTGAAAACCATCATCTATTAAATCCAAAATCTTTATGGTGATTATTAAGAAATAAATTAACCGCAAAATTGTGGAAACGTACCTGAATTCATATTGACTAACTAGTACTTAAATCCATTTTCGGGTGACTTTTCAACTCAACACGTATTCACCGATCTCCTAAGAGAGCCCTTTATTTTCTCTTTGATATCTTTCCTGACGATGGGATATCAGGAAAGAATTATTTTGTGGTACCCAAAATACGACAATAAGATACATGTGATTCGAGGACCATAACCCTATTTATAGATAACTTTCTTGTTATCTTTTGGATTCCTATTTCAATCCATCATAAAAATAAAAATTATCCTTAAGTCTCTACACATTAAAGACCCACATCCTATTAAATATATTAAATTTCAAATCATAATTAATCACTTTAATAAATTAAATTTAGTTTTATTTGACAGTTGGCAACCCATAATTATTCATGTATAAGTCCATCACATCACAACCACAAAAATCAACCAAAAAATTAAGAAACCCTCAACCATCATCAGCGAAATCAAGAAGAAAAGAGAAGAAGCAAGGGGCTGAGCCGATGGCTGACTTGGGTCCCATCTCAAAGTTGGGTCATGTGGTTGACCTATGTTGGAGCAGAGCCAATGGCTTAAGAGAATGTGTGAGCAAGGAGCTAGAAACCTATGTTTTCAGAACCGG